GGGGCCCTGGGGTTTGCAATCATAACGGGATTTGTCGCGATACTGTGTCACGGGTTTAGGTTTTCTGATTTCGGCCTGGGTGTTTGTTCAAAAGGCTTGTTTACTGCTCGGCCTTCTTGATTTTGGAGTTGGCTTTCATGTAGCCAAACTTCAACTCCAAACCTAAGCCCTAAACTAAACCGAATCCCTAAATCAAAAGTTGAGCGCTGAGGTTTGCATATCGGCAGGTGCTGGAAAGTCTCCACTCCGCCAGGGTGATTGCGGAGTCTTGGTACTGGACAAGCCCCAACCACTAGGCCCAAACCCTAAAGCCTGCGCAAACCAAACATCCTATCCCTGAGCCTCAAACCCTAAACACTCCTAACCCCTTTAGACTTTAAGCCCAAATACGCCGATGAAAGCCATAAAATCTTTATTTATGTCACCCTACAAGCCCTTTGTGAAATCCCATGAGAACATTCTAAAGTCCTGTCAGTAAACAAACCCTGAAATACCCTGAACAGTAAAGGAGCGCACGTGCGTCACTGACATAATCAAAGACTCCGGGTGCCAAGCGCTGAAGCGAGCGCGCTGGGCGATGAGAAAGGACTCCCCCCAGATGGCTTTTGGTCTAGGTAATCCAGGAAATGTAGCAGCTTAAATATCTAATCACCAATACTATGTTTGGGGTTCCTTATCATGATCATAGTACAATATACCTCAAAACCCCGTTCTAATTGTTAGGTCCCTGTACTAAGGGCTTCCTTACTATGGTGATAGCATCAATCTACCCCCAAAACTCTGTTCTAATTGCCAAGGCCCCTATACGACGGGTTCAGGCTTCAGGGCTTTGGGGGATCGGGGTTCAGGGTTTAGGGGTTCATCTGGGTTGATAGTTGCAAGAGTTCTAGTAAGGGTTGTATCGCAAAGGTCCTGCAAAGCTTTTTTTAGCGGCTTCAATGTGAAGTGTTTGGGTTGGATACTGCCCCACTCAGTAGTAGTTGAGCAACATTATTTCTAACATGAATATATATATATATGTGGCCCTAATAGTAGCCTTATTATAGACTGTTACTTTATGGGGGCAGTACCCAAGGTTTTGGGGTTTAGGATTTTGGTGTTTAGGCTTTCGGGACTCGGGAACGAGGGTGAAGTGTACAGTTTTTTACAGACAGTCAGACCAAATCTCCTGGAATATCCGTTGCCTTAAGCCTAAACCCCAAACCATACCCCAAAGATGTGATTCAAGGTAATGCTTCATGGCTTGGCCTCTCTCCTGACTAAAGTGTTACGACAAATGTAGTTTTTGGAACAAGGTTCGACCGGTTTCTGCTAAGTGGGGTGGGATCGCATAGTGAAGGGCATGCGCGCGCCTGGGTGATATCAGGGCCAGTGCGCCGCATCCCTGCGGTGCCGTAAAGCCTAAAGCCATCAACCTCAAACCTCTAAACCTTAAACCCCTGAAGCCTAAACCCCATACACATTAAACCCCTAAGCTCTGAACCCCATAAGCCCTGTCTGAGTCGTAGGAGACCTGGGGCGTGGCGCTTTGCTTTACGAGCACCTTGGTGTCTTTGCCCTTTGCGAACATGCTGCGCCCCGGCGGAAAGGGCGAAAAGGGACATCATGGGGTTCCGTTTAAAAAGGGCTCCCAAGTTCCTCTCTGAGGCTTCAGGGTTCCTTTTAGGGCTTAGGGCTCCTTAGTTCCGCTTTGAGGCTTTAGGGTTCCTTTCAGG